ATTTCTCTTTGGAAGATTCTCAGTTCGAATCTCGCCAGAGAAACCGAATAAGGGGCTCGTCTTGCTATACCGACAGAAGAATAGGAAGAAGAGAAAATATCGTACCTTCTTCCTAGAACTTCTTGTTAATAATGACTTAAATAAGGTAAAAAAAAAGTAAAGCTATCCCTGTAACAGGCCGTGAAGGCCCGTAAGGTTGTGAGGCATCGAGGCTCCCACATTTTCTAGAGTCAGCTCACAGATCGGTAAGGTTATCAGCCTTACGCGCCGGCCGCCCTTTATCCCCAGGAAGATTTCTGGCACTCATTTCTATTAAGAGGCTGAGTGGACTCCAAGGCCATAGTGAGGCTGGAAGGATTAGGTCGATTGAAAAAAGAAAAACCTCATCGGGATAAGAACACGCGACCTTCCGTCTTGTAGCATAGTGCCTCAACTAATCTACCACGTGCCAGGTCATTGTCATTAACAAAAGCTTCAAGGCACACACTAACATGCGCAATGACAGTGTAGAGCCCTTAGAATATCAATCTACAATCAAGCAGCAATCAATCATAATCAGGAAAGGTAAACACTCGAGAGTGCCAACCTGTTCGCCTGAGAGAGCATGAATATGTGTTAAAGGACGCAGTGTCGCGGGTTTTGTAGTTCTTGCTGATGTCAATTAATCCCTTGGTATATAGATAAAGGGTAAGAAAAATAAGTGACCATGTTCATATATTATTAACTTAAAGATGAAAGGTTGCAGAGAAAACCTGTTCACTGAATATAATAGCCTTTAACAGACAACAAAAACTGTAATTACCGGTACACTATTATTCCCATACACAGTCGGTAGGATTCCTTGGACGGGGGATCAGCCCGTTGCAAAACCTCTACCTATCCACAGAATAAACGCACACAATACAGACATCCATGCCTTGAGTGGGATTCGAACCCACGATCTCCGCGTTCAAGCGAGCGAAACAGTTCTTGGCTCAGACCGCGCGGTCACTATGATAGGCAATTAGCGGTATTTTTTTTTCCTTGGCACTACAGCCCCAGTGGGCCTAGGCCTACCTCCATGAACTTCTCCGTTCACTTCGGTTTTTCGAGATCTTACACATTCGGTAGGACTCCTTGGGCGGGTGATCAGCTCGTCGCAAGGCCTCTACCTGTACACAAACACAGAAAAACGCACACAAACATCCATGCCCTGAGTGGGATTCGAACCCACGATCCCGGTTTCCAAGCGAGCGAAGACAGTGCATGCCTTAGACCGCTCAGCAGTACATTACAAACTACAAATTCAATGGGAACTCTTTTCATTTGGAATATAGGCCTACCCTTCCCTCCAATTTTTCGAATTCCTCTCCGATTCCTTTCATTTGTCCATCCTGCCGCCATACCTCACACTCACGCTCTCTCCTTTACGTTATATCAATTTGCGTAAATGGGTCGGTCTATCGCTAAAAATAAGCCGTTGCAGAGCATCTGTGAAAAATGTTACTTCATAGTTTTCTGCCCAGATTACACATCATCGCATACACCGAACAGTTTTTTTTTATTGTTATACACCACAGTCCAAGTGCTCATGCCATCTAGTGGCACGAGTCTGTACTAATAGGGAACAAACACAGCAGTCCATAAGCTACTGCCATCTCGTAACACTGCTGACAAAAAACGCGAGCACACTTCAACACTACTGAACTGAAAGATCGAATGCGTAACACAGTTGCACCAACTAGTAAACGGCAGCCACACTGTACCTAACAGTAGTACGTACAATACAAATGGGTAGGAGGAAGTCGAGTGAATCCCACTCCATATTCGGTTTTAATAAGTGCCTTGACATCTTGATAATAAAAATCAGAGTTTAAGACGTCGTGTCAAAATTAATTTACCTTGAGGCCTAACCACATGTTTATGTATTTTGCTGAATGCGTAAGTACGTAAGTGTGTGTTTATGTGTACAGAGATGCCCCACAAAAAATGTATTACTTACTTACTTATGGAGCTGAGCCCATCTTGAGGCGAAGCAAAATCTCCAGCTACTCAAGAATTTCCCAGCATTTTATGGAACCCGAAAATTCATTACCGTGTTCACAAGAGCCCTCCACTGGTCCATATCCTGAGCCAGATAAATCCAATTCATCCCATCCCATCTCTCTAAGATCCATTGTAATACTGTCCACCGACCTACGTCTTGGTCTTCCCAGTGGTCTCTTTTCTTCTGGCTTTCCCACCAATATCCTATATGCATTCGTCTTCTCCCCCAGTCGTGCTACATGCCCTTCCCACAAAATATGTATATGCAATTTAATAGAGGTTATCTACTGCAGTTTTCAAAGTTGAACCGAAATGTTAAATGCAGTCTGTAGTGTGATATTCTATAAAGAGATGGTGCTAGTCACATGAACGAACATGAATGCCAAAGCCACCTTATCGAATTGCAGGTCAGTCGAAGAAAATGGCAGGGGGAACGGATGCCGTTCGAGCAACGCAACATAATTTTGAAGTGATCTGATGGAAATACATGGCAACATAGGAATACGAATTTTTTTTTTTTAAATATCACCTGAAAAACGTACACAAAGACACCAGCTATCACGACTGAGGCTTTCTGTAGTTTTTCCCATTCCTTCCAGAACAGTGCATGTACAGCAATTGGCCCATAACAGCTCCCCTACATCATTTCCTTATCCTACCACACAGGCTACAATCGGGCGTCTCATAGCGTCGTTATACGAAACTCGAAAAGGGCAAAAAAAAATTGAAGTTCTTTCTTTATCTCTATCCCCGTCTGCCTAAACGCAACGCCATAAAGGTTGTAAATGAGGCATGCAGATAAAATTCCATGTATTCTAGAGGTGAGATATCACTGCACATTCCAGCAGCTTTATCTCTAAGAAAAAGGACTCACGGCAGAAGGCTGAACATAACAATATAAAATTGTTCAGCTATAAAATACCCAGTAGCTAAAGATAAAATAAAAGAACTCACCGTCACACTTTATATATTACTAAAAAGCTCAGCGGATCTAGTTACTGAGCGTGCGGGCCGCGCCATAGCTCAAGCGGTTAGTCGCTGACTTCCCACCACGGCGGCCCGGGTACGATCCCGGGTCTGGTCAAGTGTGATTTGCGGTGGACAAAGTGGCGTTGGGGCAGGTTTTTTCCGAGTACTTCGGTTTCCCCTGTCAATCTTCACGCCACCAATTGCGCCACAATCACCCTCACCTATCATCTGGGCTGGTACAAGAGGCCAGAAGTGGCCGCAGTACAAGGGACTTAGTACCACCCCACTACCAATAAAAAATTAAAAAAATACTAAGTGTGTGCGTGCGTGTGGTAAACTTCGAAGGAAACTTGTACCTGTTGTTGGTTTCTTGAAAGTTTGAATTTAAGCGAAGCTTAAAAGCCCCTCACACCGCCGTAAATTCTGGTAAAAGTTTACCGACGTACCAGAGTCACCGCCGTGAAAACCTCAAATTTAACAATGATTTTAAATTTGTAAATTTACATATAATCATTATGAAGATGAAACGAAAAGCAAATATGAGAATTATAATTCACAAGTATGCTTATAAGTCAAAGGGCTTTATTATTTTAGTATTTTTATTACTCCCATTTCGACTTTCGAGGCAGTTAACAGATTTTTACGAAACTTGGAATGGATGTTATGCTATTAGAGACCATCCAAAAGACGCACTTTCTTAATTATCTTGAGACAGTAATTACAACACAGCGGACGTACGATTTTGTAAGGTGAGAGTGACGCAACCACCACGTATTTAGAGTCCTGAAAACGTGTACAACAATTTGGCAACACTGCGAAACTTTGAGTAATATGAGGCAAATTTAACGTAATCGTAACCTGTAATAAGTTTTTCAAAAGAACTGAAAGTAATAGTACTTGTACAGGCAATGTAAAGTTGTCCCTCTGCTTAGCTAATTAAGCACTACGCCATGAGGGCGTATGGGAAAGTGAATGTATAGATCCAAATTTTCTTGCCCTCGGCACTAGTTGGGAGTGAGTGGTCAGCTTAACGCCCCGGCCGCCTTTGCTCTGGTACCCATTGGATAGGAGGCTGGGTGGGCCCCAGAGCCGGTCTGAACGCTATGGAGAAGAGAAAAGTCTTGACCCTACCGGGACTCGGAATTCCGACCCCTCGGTCATCCAGCCCGTAGCCAGTCGCTATACCGACTGCGAGATCCCGGCTCCTAGTAATAACATTCGCAGTAAACACAAAATATAACGTGAACTTATGCTACAAGCAATAAAAATTTGACTCGACTAGATTCGATAAGATGGCGATCTACTAATAAGTTCAACACGTTATCCCATGAGCTAAACTTAATTTCACTATTGCCTATTTAATATATGTTATTCCAAAGTGACGTTCGCTGCATTAGTGTCCTAGGGCTACACGTCGGTGTCACAGGAAAGTGGGTTTTATGAGCTGTATCTAAAGCTCATTGCATTATTTTACTTACACAGCAGCATTTAAAAACATTATAATCAGCAGCAATATAAAACTTGCATTTCGTTTATTTTGTTCATCCCCTTGTTAGTGTGAGGCACATTTAACTTATGTAAATCTCCTTACGGCCTTAGACAGTAGAACTTCAACTTTATATAAATAAACATTTCCACTGAGTATATCGTTAACAATTCTATAGGCGTGCACATAAATTTTAAGTATAATCCTTAAAACGAAGTGGATTCGTTATGGTTTAGGACTATAATGGAAAAATATTATAAGAACTCGTTAGCAGAGAATTGCAGTAACATTTGGTGTACACTGTACCAGTGTCACGTACGGAGGTGCAAAGAGAACATGCTGGAATAACGGCAATGCCGCTGTCAAACAACAAAGGAAGACACTGCACAAATCGCTGCCGCTATCTGGACGTTTTAAAATGAAACAACTATGTTTGCAAGGAACTGAACTTGATATTGTGTATATCAAAAAGAATTAAGTTACAAATTACTATGATGTCATACAAAAACGTTCTACTTACTCCTTGCGCCCGGAATTCCTTTATTCTGACGTTGTTTAACATATTACCAAACTTTCAACATGAAACGATAATTGATACACTCTGCAAACGTTTAAAAAATGGTTTACTTGCAGGCTTCCCTTGTTACGACATCTGGATACATAATCTATAACGGTCTATACCTGCACTTTACTTACAAACACGTCTCTACGTTCTCCACGGATCAACTGCGGTGACTGCGGGTCACAACGAGCTGCCGTAGATGACAGAAGAGCACTGAACTCCACTATATCGATACTCGCTCTGAAACGTCGATGTATGCAGTTTTTTCGTTTTTGCGCGTTCTTTGAATAAAAAGTATACGATAACAATTACGGTGTGTTCTCTCATTTTTGTTTCATTATCTCGAGAAGCGGAAGACTTATGGAATACGTGTGCTGTGCATAAAATATGTTTTATTTTCTCTTCGATTTTGTTTCCAAATACAAGTATTTGTAAAAGTCAATAGAAAGTCCGTTAATTGGTTAATCAATATACTAATCAAAAAACAAGTATTTGTCCTTTTGATAAATATTGGGCGATCTATGCACGAGAGAAATTCGAGTTCGGTGCTGAAAAGCCTATAGATCTTCATGTATAGTGCCTGCTATTGTTATTCGAGTCTAACTAAAACTGTAATAGGAGGGTATATTTTAGTTAGCTCCCCAACGCCAAGTTTCACGAAAATTCTTTCGGAGGTTGTTAAGTTTTTACATGCGAGCAGAGTGATGGACTGACAGTGATGATGACTTATATTGCAGGTAAGGTAATGTCACCCTGTGCTTGACTGATTAAGCACTATTCCATGAAGGCATGTGGTGGAGTGGATGTATAAAGCCACATTTTCTTGACCTTGGCACTAGCTGGAAATGAGTGGTCAGCTTCACGCCCCGACCGCTTTATCCCTGGGGAAAGAGCTCCCGGTACCCATTGGATAGGAAGCTGTGTGGGCCGTGACGTGGAAAACAGAAAAGTCTTGACCCTACTGTGACTCAAACTCCAACCCCTTGGTCGTCCAAACCCTTGCAAGTCACTATACTGACTATCCTATTCCGACACTACGTACAAAATGTATTAAAATGTAGGGCTGTCATGATGTAATGTAAATTAATATCGTGGTCGTGCGTTCCCATCATGAAATAAATTTTGAGTCTTTAATTGAATTTGAGATGACAAATCAACTAGCACGGTCTGTTTTAAGGTTTATATATTTGTACTTCTTTTGGCTTATTTTGGACTTCACCCATCGTCCGGTATAAAAAAGACAAAAAACCACAACGTTTCGGAGACTGGAGCTGTCTCCGTCTTCAGGTGTATAGGGAAGGTTTAACCTACTCAGTTGGGCCCCTTAGAAAGAGCTAGTCTCAATCACTGGACAAACCTTGATCTGTAGAAACAACCTATGAACAACCGACAACCGGTTCCGTCAGTGGGAGGAAAGAATAAAATCGCAGTAAAAACATGTTAAAAAATTTGTGCAAACATGCACTTGTCAACAATGTAAAGAAACAGAAGTATGACGGAACCGGTTGTCGGTTGTTCATAGGTTGTTTCTACAGATCAAGGTTTGTCCAGTGATTGAGACTAGCTCTTTCTAAGGGGCCCAACTGAGTAGGTTAAACCTTCCCTATACACCTGAAGACGGAGACAGATCCAGTCTCCGAAACGTTGTGGTTTTTTGTCTTTTTTATACCGGACGATGGGTGAAGTCCAAAATAAGCCAAAAGAAGTACAGTATACACCATCGTCAGAATCCTTTCAAGTCTATCTTTATATATTTGGTTTATTATTTTATTCAAATAATTATTGGACATATACTCGTACATGATCATCATCATCAGTAATCTGTCAGACGACAGGTCCACCGTCTCATCCAAAACAATTCCTCCACTTAATGCGATCTAGAGCTTTTTCCTTCAAATGAGAATATCCTCTTCTGCCCCCAAGGTCATCCAGCAACTTCTTATGTCTTCTTCCTCGTCTTCTTGTCACTTCTATCCGCCCCTCTATCTTTCCTTCAATAATTTCTTTTAGAAGGCGTTTCTGCGTAAAACATGACCAAACCAATTAGCCTTCTGTTTTCTTATTTTGTGTAGGTTATTCCTCTGATCACTGACTCTAATTAACACTTCTTCATTTCTCACATAATCGGTCCAACTGAACTTCTCCATTCTTCTCCAACACCACATTTCGAAACTTTCCAGATGGTTCTGATCTACTGCCCTAAGTGTCCATGTTTCAGCCCCATACAGAGCTATGCTCCAAATGTAGCATTTCACTAGTTTCTTCCTCAAATTTAAGTCCAATTTGCTGGTAAAAAGATTCTTCTTCTTGCTAAATGCAGCTTTTGCC